AACTGCGCCCCCCCCCCCCCGTAAGATACATTTGAAAATGTCTAGAGACATGTTTGGCTGTCATGACTGGGAGAAAGCATTAGTAGAAACCATGTTACTGCTATCTATTTGGTGAAGGCCAGAGATGTTGATGAACATCCTACGCTGCAAAGGACAGCCTTCAGTATTATCCTGCTCAAAATGTCAACAGTGTCAACACTGAGAAATCTGACTCTAGGGGACCAGCAGTTAGTGTAATGGCTATGTCACTGGACTACCATGTAGTCAACTGCGGTTCAAGTCCCAGACCCGGTGGCTTAAACTCACGCCAGGCATGTGTAAGTGCGTGCCCAAGATACACAGAGGAGAATGAAAGAGAAGAGATTGCGTCGTGGCCATCCCCCCTGGGGGGTGATTTCTCGCTTTCTGTTTCTCTGTCTGTCTCTGTCTGTCTGGCGAGTGCACGTGCCCTATAGCAAAAAAGCCTCTCCAAAAAAATAGTAAAAAGAAATCTGACTCTACACTTTATCAAATACTTGCCTATTGAATTTGATTTACCTCTGAAGGTTAGTAAGGGTATTATGTGGCAATATTCATTTTATAAGACATCCCCTGATACAGTTTCTAGTCAAATTCTCTTTTTTAGGTAGTTAGGAATAGAAATAAGTCCTTAATTTCTTTCTTTTTCCTTTTTTTGGAGAGGTTTTTGCTATAGGGCACATGCGCTTGCCACACAGACAGAGAGAGAGAGAGAGAGAGAGAGACAGAAAGCGAGAAATCACCCCCCAGGGGAGATGGCTACGCCGCAATCCCTTCTCCTCCATTCTCCTCTTGGGATCTTGGGCACACACGCCCAGCATGAGTTTAAGCCACCGGGTTAAGCCACCGGGTGGGGAGTTGAACCATGGTGGACTGTGTGGGAGTCCAGCGACAGCCATTATGCTAACTGCTGGTCTCAATCCTTAGTTTCTTATTACTAAGATGAATGCTTTGGTGTCTTTTATGTTACTTATTTTAAAAATTACCTTTAGTTTTTTTTTTTTTTTCCCCCAGAGGTTTTGCTTTGGGCATGTGCACTCACCAGAGAAAGACAGAGACAGTGAGAGAGAAAGTGAGAAATGAACCCCCCACGGGGGATGGCCACACAGCAATCCACTCTCCTCATGGGATCTTGGGTATACACGCACACATACACAGTATGATTTTCAAGCCACCAGGTCTGGGACTCAAAATGCAGCGAGCCATGTGGGAGTCCAGTAACATTAATAATACACTATCTGATGGCCCCCCCAAATTACATTATCATGTCCCTGTACTAGTTATGTGGGCTACATTATAGTACTAACAAAACAGTGTACAATCTGATCTCCAGTCTTGGTCTCAATTATTGCAAACCTGATTTTTAAATTTATTAATCTGAATCCTAACTTATTAATAATATATTAGTGACCTAAAGAACTGATAAAATTAACTATTAATTCTACTCAGGTATTAATTTAGACACTAGAATAATATTCATCAACTCTATTTTTCAGATGTCTTCAAATCTTCCTTACCAGAAGAAGAGACTACAGAAACCCCATTTAAATCCATTACTATGCCTTTGAAGATGAAATATAAAATGTTAACATCATCCAGTCTTTGTCTTATTTATAGTTTTGCTATAGGTCTTATGTGCTCACCAGAGAGAGAGAAAGAGAAAGAGAAAGTGAGAAAAAAACCCTCCAGAGTGGATGACAAAATTACATTCCTTTCTCCTCTCGGGATTTTGAGTACATATACACAAGTATCTGGCATATATTTCAAGCTGCCAGATCAAGGACTAGAACCACACAATGAATCATGTGTGATCTAGCTGTCTTAATCACTATGCCACCAGCTGGCACAGCATCATCCACTTTTAATCTTTATCTTAGAAAATATATTTAAAAAAATATCCTGTTATTTTGAACTAAATATTATACCAGGTAATACTGACATGACTTCTATATCACAGGTATCATGGTCAAGTCACTTCTCTCAAACATAGAGGGCCTGAAATAAACATCCTATATCAGATAACCATTTTCCAATACCAGCACTACAAAAGGGTAATGATTATTTACTTTTTAAAAGAATAAATGACCATCTATAATATTGCTGTCTTTTGAGCCTCTTGGAAATTTCAAACATATTATTTAGTTTGCAGGACTCAAGCTAAACTTATGATTCAACTGCCTGAACATAGTGGAATTCTTTTGAAAGATCCCGTTTTTTCCCCAAAAAATCTATACATTTGTTATATGCTATGCACAGTAGGTGTTGAGCAAATATTTGAACACTCCTGCATCCCTTGATCATCTTCTCCATTTTTTTTTTTGGAGAAGTTTTTGCTATAGGGTGCGTGCGCTCGACAGACAGACAGAGAGAGACAGAAAGACAGAAAGCGAGAAATCACCCCCCAGGGGGAATGGCCATGCCACAATCCCTTCTCCTTCATTCTCCTCTCGGGATCTTGGGCACACAAGCACACGCGCCCGGCATGAGTTTAAGCCACCACGTCCAGGACTCAAACCACGGTTAACTATATGGGAGTCCAGTGACATAGCCATTATGCTAACTGCTGGTCCCAACCTTTTCCATTTCTTTATCATACTCATTTTATTGCACAGTAAAGGTGTCTCTCTCCACTTTAGAACCTTTATCCAAAAAAGCATTCTTACCCAGCTTCATCTGCCATCTCCTGAAGCAGCATATCTACTTGATTCTAGAATAAGAAAATGAGAATTTGAATATTAATAATATTTGCCTTTTTAAGTTTTGTTTTCCAAAGAGCAACTTGTCTATTTTTAAAAGAATATGTTTATATATATATTCATAGAGTTTTTCTGAATAATGTTAATTCTGAAGCCTTAAACTATGAGGTTATGTGAAAACCATGAGCAGTGAGATTCACGTAAAATTTGAATCAGAGTAATGTAGCTCTAAGAGAGTAGGCCAATTTATAAAGCTATTCTAACTCACTTTGTTTTAATGTGCAATAGGTTTACATTTTGGATTAGAATAACCGTAATCCTTCTACTAGTTGATGAAAATCTGATATTTAAGGTGATTCTTTAAAATATCTAGATTTGGATAAAATATTAAGTATTGATGATTTTGCTAAAGTACAGAGGTTCTCAGAGAACAGAATCTGATTAATCTGAAAACTCCATGTTTTTAACTTCGTGGTCAAAGATATTTTGAATATACAGGGAGCAGGTCTAAGATGTGGTCTTGGCTCTAGCCATTAACAAGGTGAATAATTATAAGTAAATTGTGAATCTTGCTGTTCAGCCTTAGTTTGTCTTGTCCTCTTTCATGAACTTTAAAATATCTCCAAAAGACAGAAAAGATATAAAAAAATAGTAGGCCAAATACCTATGTCCATTAACAATTTACTTCATAACTAAAATAGCATTATCTGTGTTTTTAAAATTTACTTAGGTTGTATTATACAATGATATTATTCTATAACTTGCCTTCCTTATTTCATTTAATAATATTCGTTATAATATCTAAAGGTCTAGTTCATTCACTTTCACTTAACCCTGTGTGAAACTGTAGTATCAAAATATACTCATTTTTATTTATCCATTCTATTTTTGGAAATTTATATATTTTCAAATTTCTCCCTATTTTAGAGAATCAACATTCTCATATATAGATATATATCGATATTTGGAAGTAGAAGTACTAAGTCATAGGGTATGTACATACTCATATAATCTGATTTAGTCAATAATTTTCAATAAATATTGAGTACCTACTTTATACCAGGTATTGTTTTACAGTAAGGAGGCATCAGTAAACAAAGATAATAAAAAAGTCCTGTCCCCATTAAGCTTACATTCTAGAGTGTGCATGCGAAAGGGGAAACAAACAAATAGGTTTTTAAAGAAGTATATGGTATATTAGAAGGTGATATATACTGTGATGACAAAGCAGAGGAGGAAGATAGAGTATAGGGAAGAACAGGTGGACAGGGGATGCATTTTTAAGTAGGCTGGTCAGGAAAAATCTTACTATGAAATTGATTTGAACAAAAAACTGAATGCGACAAGGAAGTGGGCAATGAGGATGTAAGAAGGAATAACATTGAAAAGAGAGGAAACTGCAAGTGAAATGGCTTTGAAGCAAAAAAGTACTTGGTATGTTTGACAAATAACACAGAAGCAAAGTGCCTAAGTAAAGTGATGAGTAGTAACAGGAGATATGGTCAGAGAAACAGGGTGAGGCAGATTTTGTAGGGCTTTAAGGGTCTTTGCAAAGAATCTTTTATTCTAAGAGAAATGTAGAACCACTGGAAGGTTCTGAGCAGAAGAGTGACATGATCTGACCTGTTGTAACAGGATTGCAATGGTTGCTCCGCTGAAAACAGATTATAAACGGAAGATATAAAAGCATGGAGAACAATTAGGGATTTCTGAATTCTAATTACTCCTTAGCAAGGTGTGAGAAGTTGGATAACTAGAGACAGTGTGTGAGGAGGGTAGAAATGGGGAGGATGAGAAGAAGGAAATCAAGGGGAAAAAAAGAAGCAAAACATACAAACCCTCTGAAAATCTTATATAAACAAGATTCTGAACCAATGTCTATAAGTGGGGTCTGAAATACTGCATTCCTACTAATTTCCCAGGTGATACAGATGATCCTGAATCTCATACCACACTTTGGGGAGCAAGTCTCTAGGGGAGAGTGTAAAACATATGGCTAAATATATGTTTACTATAAAACACACACATGGATTTTCTCTCTTTTAAAATCTAAACACTAAATATAAACTTGCTCTCTTATTTATCTATTTGTGTAAAGACTGCAGTAAAATTTTGATGGACAATTGTTGATTTTTTCCTAACTTATTTTGTAAATCACATTTTTCCATATTAGCATCCACAACAGTGGTAACAAGTTTTCTGTTTATTTGACTAATAACATGGAAGGTGCTAAGATCAAAGAGAAGAGAGATAATGAAAGAAATTTTCCATTTGAATCTTTAAATTCCACAAAATTTTGTTTCTGTCTTGTCATATGAAAATCAGTTTCAATTTTCATTTTCTCAGTGGCAGATCTCTACTCAGGTTGCAGGTTTAGAAAACATTCTAGTTTTCTGGAGAAAAAAATAGATCTTCTAATTTACTTTTTGTTTACCTGTGAATCATGCATAAATTATATACC